AAAATTACGACCGGAACAGGCTGGATGACTTCAGGACAAATGAATCGTGTGCGAATCAAATTCCGACACTACACTACCCATCACCATAGAATACAGTATAGAATGGCAGTCAACTCAACTCTACCTCAACTTCATCCACTTTGACAAGACCTTCGATAGCGTAAACCTAGAAGTAATTTAGAAACTGCTTCAACACTACAGTTTTAGCACCACAAACCTTTGTTAAACTCATTCAACAGCTATATGCTACATGACGCTACATGCCAAGTGATTCACAATGGAAAGCTCAGTGATGTAGTTGAAGTGAAGACAGGAGTAAGACAGGGCCGCCTATTATCACCGATCATCTTCCTGATTGTGGTCGACTGAAATGGATCATGAAACAAACTGTGAGGAGCAAGAAGATGGGCATACGCTGTTTGACAGACGAAAAGACCCTAGAAGATTTGGATTTCACCGATGATCATTTATGTCTAATGTCGTACAAACTCGAAGATCTACGGGCGAAAACTAACAAGTTGGCAGAAGAGGCTAAGCAGAGCAGTGAAGATGGGACTTCCTACAGGTGAACGTAGAGAAGACAGGGGTGATGAAGATACCCAACCAACAACAACAGATACCAATCACCATCAACAGGAGAAATCTAGAGCAAATTGTCTCTCTCAACCACTTACCTAAGCAGCATCGTTTCAAATACAGGCGGCATAGGCATAGATAGGGATGTTAAAGCCAGGATCGGAAAGACAGCAAGACACGCCTTCATTAATCTGAAATCAGTGTGAAGATCTACTGCGCTCCACTCCATTGCACTGCACTGCATTCACCATAAAGAACAAGATCCGGATTTTTAACACTAATTCAGTCAAGTCAGTGCTTCTATATGGTTCAGAAACTTGGCACGTTATGAAGAGCATTCACAACGAACTACAGACATACATCAACAGCTGCCTACGCTCACTCCATACTGGAAATCAGATGGCCAGAATAATAAGAATAAGCAACAAGGAACTCACTCTGGCAACGGACCGACGAAGCAAGAACCCATCGTCCAACTAATATGCAGAATAAGAGAGTGGAGATGGATTGGATTGGACATAGACTCAGAAGACCATTTGGGGACACCACACGTCAGGCCAGGCCATCGAGTGGAACCCAAAGAGGAAACGACGAGTCGGACGTGCGAGAGTGACATGGAGGAGATGGTGTGAGGAATAGATGAAAGCTTGTGGGCAGTCATGGAGCCAGGTTCAAAAGACTGCACAGAAGAGGGTGAAATGGCGATAAGCTACTGAAGTCCTGCTCCACTAGAAACCCAAAGAACAAATAAATAATGATAATAATTTGTGTCCAAGATCCTAGGGTGCATTGTTATCTGACATCTAACTTGAGCTCAAGAACAGCAAACTGGAGAAAACTAGGTAGGTTTCAGACTTGGACGAGGGTGGGTCGATCACATTTTCACTCTCCAACAGGTCCTGGAACACCGACATACCTACCGGCGGCCGACACTTGCCATATTTCTTGACCTGAAAGTAAAATTTGACTCTATTAACCGCGAAGTGTCATGGCAGTGTCTGATTGTGAGGGGAGTATCCAGAAAGCATATAATGCCTATCAAAGCTCTTTACTGGAACCTAAGCAGCCGTGTCAGGGCTTATGAAGAGTTGTCATGCGGACTGACTACAACTAGTGTTATCCGCTAGGGATGCCTAATGTCACCGTTCCTATTTAACTTCGTTGTAGACGTACTAATAGATATAAACTTAGGTACGTCTGACTTTACAGAGATTGATCTACCCCGTTGGTGACTTGGAGTATGAAGATGACATTTTCCTGCTAGGTGAAGACACTGACAAAATGCAAGGCATTCTAAACATACTGACCAGAAACCAGTATGTTTGGCATGTGTTTCGAGCCTGACAAATGTAAGATGATGCTCGAAGACTGGTCCTCCAATTTTTCCCGGTTTCATGACGGGAAGTGGTGGTGGAATGTGTCGACCACTTCACTCACTTGGGGAGCTGCGTCAACCCGAACGGACTGGTTGGTGGCGAAATTTCGGCTCAGATAAAGAAGGCCTGTCCATAAAATAGACACATCACAGACAAACAAAATCAACGTAGAACCTCGCACATGAATGCATTGGTTCAAGCTGCCACACTCCCTAGTAGTATACATAGCACAACTGGAGAGAATAAGAGTGATATCAAGTTAGACAAAGCCGGGTTAGAGAATAAGCAGTTTGAAGATAATGATTAATGCAGATACTTAAGATTTAAAAGATACCAAGAAATGATTGCATCTGCGTCATTGTGACCAGTTTTCAGCTGTTTTATCAAAAGTCCTCAACCACTGATTCCTGTCATCTTGCAGACCCCAGTCTGGCAGTTTACACCTCACACGGCTTAGACTAATAGTCAGGAGCTTCATCGACTGGTCCCACGTCTTGATCTTCTCACTCTGATCATTCAGGGGAAAAACGGAACTCCACTGAACATGTCACATGAAATTCTCCACGCATGACTTTGTAGTCACATAAAAGTTAAAGGCCTTACTTAGTTATTGATCAGATCTTCGGGGTGAGAAAGATGAGCCATATATACACCCTAAAAAAATATTTATTTAGTAGGTGGAGTTGAGCCCAAAAATGTTATTAACATCGTTAATACTGGATAGGCAAACAAGACCAATACAGGACCAGACATTACTGTGTAACGGTTCAAAAAGCTACACCTCATATCAGTACACCAAGAGAGAAAGTACCAAGATAAAGAAATAGGGAAGAAAGTAGTCAAATTGGTAGAAATTAGTAAAACAAAAGAGAAGAGGAATAAGAGAACACTAAATTCAGTGTGACAAATAGCATGAGGATAACGTGTGTGCACATGAGTACTACTGAGATAGGTGATTCTGAGCAATGTCAGTAAGTTTCTAATCACTGGTTTCTATTGTCACGCAAACCGGAACCGGAAAGCTTGCATTCCCTTATACGGCTCAGATAAAGAGTCAAAGATTTCATACACTGATGCCATATCTTAGTGTACGCGCTTCTAACCTTTTTTCAGCTTAAACCTAGTTCAGCTAACAGTGTGCGACGAGGCAGACGGTGACTACACGTAACACATGTCCCAGCCATCTCACTTAATGGTGGTAGGACCTAGAATCACAGACACCTTGCAATGGTGACTCTTCTGTAGTTATCACAAGCAGGCATCTCATCTTTCTTGAAGACTGGGACAATCAGTGGGTTAGACTAGTCAGAGGAGATTACATCTATCCCAAAAACGATTTGACTGTTCAGTTAACTTGACCAATAATCCTCTGCTAAAATCTTAAAATACTTCCAGAACTAGTCGTTCTAGCTCTGTTGCTCTTCCACATTTCAGATTATTTGCAGCTTTCTCTACTTCTGCAGGTCATGTAGATTCTATCTCGATGTTCCACAGAGGATCCAACTGCACAACCCATAACAGAATAGATGGCTCCGTATGCAGTTTGCAAAATGGGGCGCAATGGATCGGCTGGAATTTATTGATGTTAAATACTTTGGTGGTAGGGTGTTTGGATGATAAGCATTTTGAGGTTCCAGAGAAGGTTCGCGATAACAGAAACACTACCAATGCTTCTCATGGTCGTTCTAGTAACAGACAAAAGTCTATGATGTATACGTGCATCGCCTTAAACTATCAAGACCCAAAGTTATCGGTGCGTCGATTGAGATCCTATTAACAGTGGGAAGGTAAACAATTGAAGCATTTGCCAGATCGCTGGATAGGGGGTTAGGTGGTCTGAGTACCTTGGTTAAGATCAGTACAGGAAGTGAGACTGAGCGCTAAATCCAATCTATGGAGACGCCCGCTTTAGCATTTGCATAGCTGTCACATCAAGGCCAATATGAGTATGGTCAAATCCAGTATGGTCATGATCTTCAGCAAAGAACTCGCAAGTTTGTCTCCCACGACAAATGTGTTGAATGAATCTCTGATTTACAGAGTCCTTTACAGCAAAACATAACCGTTAAAACTTTAAGATATGGGTGTACACATTAAAGCGGAATATCACATTTCCCTACATGCTTAATGATCTCAAAAGAAATAAAGTTTACTACTTTACACAAAACTTTTGGATCAATAGAGTTAGAGCTTGGTGCATTGGTGAAGAGATAAAGAAAAAAAAAGGTTACTTAGATGCGATTACAGCTGTAATTATAGGAATTGATGTTGCCACATTTTTGAGTTTAGGATACAGTTCATTGAACTAGTTCTGTATGAAGCTTTTGGCAGGCTGGTCATTTAGTTAGGTGACGAAGGTGCATCTAAGACCCACCACTAAGTTAATGGAAGCATCAAGCCTTTGGAAAGCTATGTAAGTTACCTTTCAGATATTTTGTCTTATACTATCGGAATATAAGGAACTATACCATATACCTTGACAGATGGTGTTTGATGAGAAGTTTCTCCAAATAGGTGAGCCAGGGGGTCGTCATAAATATTATGACTACTATCAGAGAATGTTGGGTGAGCTGCAGGAGGCGAAATGGTAACAAGACTGGAAGATTTCCTTCGGCGCCTTACTTTGTTACTAACCACAGCAACCATAGATGGGGCTCCGACGATTATAATCAGAAAATATTGAGAATGATGGTATAAGAGTCCAAGTAAGAATTCTCTCAAGAGAACTTAAAGAAATGTTGGGCAAAGTGGAAAAAACGAGGGGAAAGTCAGAAGAAGTGGCGTGGTAAGAATCGAGATAACATGTGACCAAAAAAATTAGAGGTGAAACTCGGGTAAATACTGACAAACCGCACACTTGAATATGGGATTCCAAAGGCAAATTCCTACACGGTCCATAGAACGGACCCATATGCATTATTATAATAATGTATGTGAGCGGTTACAAAACTACTATATCAGCCAGATATCAATATTTCAGGCTAAATATGTAGCGGAGTACTGATAAAACGCAGTAAAAAGTTAAAAGTAGGAGTGTGAACAACGCACTAGCAAGAGTATAGTACACCACACCCAAGAGAAACGCAAGAGTTGTATTACCGGTACTGCAAGTTACCTACCAATCAACAATATCCAATATCTTTCCACGAGCTCGAGAAAGCCACTTGGTTTATTCACGCTCACTTTCGCGTCCCACAGAACAGTTCTAGGTCTTTTTGGATTTCAACACAATAAGTCTACCCACTCGCCTGCTGCAGCTCTGGTATACCCAACGTGTCGTTGGGTGGTGATTAGATATGTAGGGAGTTGTATGATTTGCACAAGAACTAAGGTGAAGATGGGTTCCTCACCTGTCTCGTGATCAGGTGGTGGTTTGGACTAGTTATAAAAAGATGGAAAGGACGAAAAGGTTACCAGGCAAAGCGACAGAGAGGAAGTGCAAAAAAATAAGAGGAATGAAAGGGAAGGAAAAACTTAAGTAGATTCAGGGATGACCGGAGAAGGAACAACGCAAAGGAGACCCTAGACAAACAGTATAAAGGGGATAGAGACAGAAGAAGGGAGAGGAGCAGATAAGATTATTGGAGGGAAAATAGGAGTAGCAGTATCAATGTTACCAGTGGTAACTGGAGGTGAAACGTCTAACAGGGAATTATGAAGTTGAGTCACCTCCGCGATGGTAGTTACAGTACATGAGATTCGATGCAGAGTCAACTGTACTGGAAAATTCCGAATTAGTTGGTTGCATTCACCATGTTCGGACACAAGCTGGATAAGAATCAATGGCCCAGGGTTTTCGACGAGATTCAACATCGATGCTCACCTTGATAGTTTAATTGGACTCGACAAGCTGAAGGCACCCTGTCTAGCACCCAGGCCATTTGGCACGCTGTCGTTCACGTCGCACTGCTCGTAGTCGACCCCTAGCCGGTTAGTTGAAACATCTGTATCTTGACATGACCTCAGAAATATACTACTCCATCCGACTACGCTATCGTGTTCTTTCTTGGTCTCGTATTCGTGGGTATATGACAAGTTTGAGTAATTAGCGATTGGCCCCTGTATCTGTCGAACCCGCAACGTGGCAACCCCAAAATTGGTGGGCCCGTTCCACAATTTAACGGGCGCATTGGTAACGTTTTCATAACCTTTATATATACATAAATATACATATATATATACATATAAACATATATATATATATATACAACTCCTTCTCATGTTCAACCATACTCCAAAGCTTATCCCTATTAAGCCGACGACGAACAGCTCATGACATACTGGCCAGACAATGCAGAAACCCGATTTGTGTATGCCAAGGCAGACTTTCGAGAACAAGGAGTCACAGATACTCATTCTCGATTTCTTGTTGCCATACGTTCACTACCGCGGGGATTAAATCGGCACGTTACAGCGCAGATGTTTAGTCCAGAGGTAAGTGATCCTTATGCACTTCTCAAAGCCGCACTACTGAAGGAAAGTGATCTAACAGGTCGCCAGCGCCTAAAAGAATTGCTTCGTAACATCGAGCCATGATAAATGAAGAAAGAAATTCCTTTGTTCAGTTTTCATTTTATGAAAAAATAACAAATACTTGTTCTACAAAGAGGAACTATCCAAATATTCACTTGACTTGAGCAAATAAAAATAAACAAAATAAATTCCTAGATGGTTCATATTTGAAATACTATACCAGTATACATCAGGACAATAAAAGTCAGGAAGTGCAAAGCAAGTATTTCAGTTTGTTTTATGATCAAGTTGACAGAACTTATTTCGAGACCTTCAAACAAAAAATGTTTGGGTTGGTCAAGATGAAGAGTTACTAGACGAAATGAAATTTTAAAGAAATAAAAATTTTACACTTCGATGAACTCATGATGTCAGATGACTGATTTCGCAATGTTATGTAGTTTCCACTGTAGAAGAAACTAGGTTACATTTTTGTTTTCAACAGCTGTTGTTCTGCGGAAAACTTTGAATTCGCTAATCTTGTTCTGAACTGTAACTTACTAAACAACTTGTAAGTGGAATACTTTGTTTATTAACTGTTATCTATAAGACCCACCTGCTATTGTAACAGAATGATGGTGAAAGTCAACCAGTAAATCACCTGAGAATAGTTCAGTGCACAAGGCTAAGCTAGACATCGACTCTCAGATGTTTCACAAAACACGACTAAAATTTTATCACTTTATAGCACGAAATGCTCCCAGTGTTAATACTCATTCGGTACAACTACGGTGTTGTACTTTGGAAATAACATATTTATGAACCCTCTTCTCTCATATACCTTACAAAATATTAGACGCACACAAGATATACTAACCATGACCTACATCTCACTTAATACAGAGACAGTGATGAGGCAAGTGGCATACCTATTATTTTGACTCTCTGTTTTCCATGAATAAACCATAGCCAAAGTATCAGAGATTTTGTTATGCAAAGCATATACACACGCACGATAACGAATGAGCTGTTTGATACACTATGTACCATCAGGCTGAATTATTCGATGACGAACAGTGGCGATAAGTGAAAATAATCTAAGTCTTAAGAGGAATTTGAGTTCACTTTTTCTTAAATGTGGACTCCGTCTAGAATCTGACAATAAAAGAGACTAGTTTCTCCAGTCATATGTATAATCTACGTCAATTATTATTCTGGTAAACTACAACAATGTTTCAACCAACGATAACTTTAAAAAATGCAACTAGTTGAACAAACTTTCTCAAATAAACTTGCAACAACAATTAGTGCACATTCAATACTTTGCGAGAATACCACTGAAAAACATCATAATCTAGCTGGCTTTTAAACTTTTTTACTGAACAAAAGAAAATGTTACCAATTTAAATCGATTAACCTGGTAGAAACAATTCTTTCATTCATAGTATTTACATAAAGATAAACCCACATAGTATGAGTTTACAAATAGGAGTATCTGAAAATTTTATTAGATTATGGAAGTAAACAGGATTTTTTTGAAACAATGTGACAAAAGTAATACGGTTTATTTGTCATTTATAATGTTATAAATAACAAATGCGTTTGAAGTATGTATATAAGTGTAATGTAGTGAATATTCTACTACTTGAAAACAATAAATGAATGAAACGGTATATACAGTGAGTTAGATTCAGGTGGCATATGGTAAATAAATAACAGTAAGAAAGATTCTGTAGGTAAGGATAAAGATAATAGTTGTCTAGCGTTCTCCGGAGCTTAAACTTTGTTTCTGAAAGTTTCGTGAACAGGCTTGGTGACTTCATTAACATTTACTTCATATACAATTGTTATAAATAAACGGTTTCACTGACTACAAGCATACTGTATAAATCCTTCACCAAAAACTCACAAAGTCATACTGTTTACCTAAGTATGGATTAAATTTTACCAACAAAGGAATGGTATAGAGGCATTAAGCCAAGAGGATATGTAGGATAATATCTCATGAAGTTTCAGAGTAATATAATGATTTCTATTGGAAACCTATACTGTTCACAGTATCTGGTTTTTCCAAGGGTTCATTATGGATGTAACAATCTAAAATACGTCACTGATGGCACTAGTAACTAGTAATGGCAGGATTCTTGGAGTTGCAGATTCATCTACACATAGGCACTAGTCAGTTTATGTAGCATCTTCCTACTTCAATTCCTAAGGACTAAACTTCATAAAAGTTCGAAAAAATTGTAAAGACTTCATAACTCATTATTCACACTCTTTGGGTGTGGGAAGATACTTTATCATCTAACTAGCTTACTCTTCTCCATCCTAATTTCTGAGACAGACCTCATTATTGAACCACAAAAATAAAGTCACAGACGACTTTGTCACTAGACTGGTATATTATGTACATTTTGATAACCTTTATACATACATATACAACTCCTTCCAATGCACAACTATACTCCAAAGCTTATCCCTATTAAGCCGACGACGAACAGCTCATGACATACTGGCCAGACAATGCAGAAACCCGATTTGTGTATGCCAAGGCAGACTTTCGAGAACAAGGAGTCACAGATACTCATTCTCGATTTCTTGTTGCCATACGTTCACTACCGCGGGGATTAAATCGGCACGTTACAGCGCAGATGTTTAGTCCAGAGGTAAGTGATCCTTATGCACTTCTCAAAGCCGCACTACTGAAGGAAAGTGATCTAACAGGTCGCCAGCGCCTAAAAGAATTGCTTCGTAACATCGAGCCAGGCAGCAACTCAGCCACCGAAGTCTTCACACGCATACTAGAAGTTATGGGAACACAAACGTCCCATAATGCCCATTTCCGAGAACTGTTTCTCTCGAAACGGCCACAACCGGTGCAAACCCTGCCAGTGACACTTCAGTCAATTCCACTCGATGACCTGGCCGCCCCAGCAGATAAAACACTGGAGATCTATAGCAGACCCGCCTCCAAGGCATTTTCTGTGTGCGATGAACCCGAGAGCCAGGATTCAGAAGTAACCAAGCTGTGCAATTCTGTTAAACAGCTGCTACGTAATCGAAGCCCTAGGTTGTGTAGCACATCACGGAAACGCATCTCATCCCATCGCAGCAACCCGCGTGGTTACCCAAAAACTAAACCTAACAGGGTGGAAAACCCTAAGTAGTGCTGGTTTCACAGTACCTACTGGGACGAAGCCAGAAAGTGTCGGAAGCTACGCAGTTCCAACATGGACACAAACTCGGGAATCTGTCACGCCGGCACGGGATCGCGGCAACTGCGGCCGACGAAACAGCCGTTTGCTTTGCGTCACCGATATAAAACCAAACGTTCGCTGCCTCGTTGACACCGGCGCAGAAATTAGCGTCCTCCCCGCACCGACAAAGGAGCGTCATCACGACTCGTCCTTCAATCTTCAAGCAGCTAAAGGCAAGACGGTCGCAACATTTGGAAGATGGTGTGCCTACCCCAAATTAGGTTTATGCAAAACTACTAACTGGATTTTCCTCCTAGCTGATGTTTCTGTGTCCATCATGGGCATAGATTCGCTGAACTGTTATGATCCACTCGGAGATGCTTGCCGCCAACGGCTGGTAGATAACAACACAAATTTATCTATTAGTGGCAACACCTACCTAGGTCCGAATTCATCCATCGCTAGCACCAATTAATCAGGCGACGCGTTCTATCAGGCGGTGTCGGAGAAGTGTCCAGAGTTACAACAACAGACGCATACTCTCGTGCATAATCAGCAGCGTTGTGCACCACGTCGTAGCCACAGGTCCACCTGTGACATTCAAAGCATGCTACCGAGCCCCTTATAAGCTCGAAACACCAAAGGGTGAGTTCGACTCCATGCCCAAATACCAAAATTTCTAATGATATGCTCGGTTCGGGCAGACAGTCGAGGGACAAGTGGTCACACTTGAGGCAAACTTGTGTTGAACTGGATAAAATGTCGAGAATTCTGAGACACTGCGTGGTTTTTGACTGTTCAGTATCGCATAACAACAGACTGTACAATTAAAAATCGGTCTTGGTCAAAGGATCAGTGCGATGTCAGGAATTGGGTCAATAAAGTCACCAGATGATGACGCCCTGAACGTTGCAGTCCTGCTGTAAATGATCGTGGAAAGGAATAAGCCTTCCCGAAGAGTTTACGAACGAGGCAAAGTTACAGCCTAAGTGCATCCCTTTAGAACACGAATATGAGGCTTGTACCACCGCATCACTTAAGAATCCCCTGTGTAACGGTCCCGGGAAAAAGTTAGGGCGAAGACGGGAGAGTGGCAAAATGATACTACACAAGCCAGGAGTAGAAGATAACATCTGCGGGGGAAGGGCAGAAACATTCAAATAAATATCACTACTGCAGAACGGAGTGCTTAAGAGAGGTTTTCAAGTCATTAATTCTCTCAGTCTATGACCATTATTGTCCCATCTGCCCCAGCGAAATATCTGTCAGATGATAAAAGTGGCCTGCGAACCGTTGCCGAAGATATGTTACGCTTACGTGAGATCGCCACCCACCACCCAATCATACTGTGTTATAAAGCATCATCTATGTAGCAATTTTCAAGAGAGCATTTTTGTCACCTTAGTCCCAGTCCGCTAAAAAAATCTGTTTCATAATTTTATACATATGCTGGGTGCCTGAGTCTGATGCCCTAAGCGATGCCTCGCATATTTCTGATATAATATCCGAGACAAATCCCGGCCAAAGTTATGAAGGGTTTTTCGCACCGTGGGAGTGTAGAGCCGGGAAACCTGGAGTACCTGTTACTCTACATTCTGACGGTCATATCCACTGCGACATTAGGACCTGTAGTGAGAGCCGTCAATCCGTCATCAAGCTGCAGCTCGCAGTTCAGCACTGTTTACAGCCGTGAGGACACAAGATACGGTCACGCAGTGAGAAAATGTAGAAAGCTTCTCTGACTGAAATTTAGCAGACATGCAATGTATTTCTGTCTGCGTTTCAAAACTGCCCGAAGTTCTGAGATGTCGTTATACACGTGTAGGACATTTTTAAGCATGAGTTTATTCCTTTTCATGTGAAGCATCATTCGGAGTTAAGAAACAGTTATTTCATCACGATCACATCTGCTTTTATCCAGAAACCAAAACAGTCACAGTGATTAATCCAGATGAAACCCACAGACTGATTGACGGTCACTTGAGATGTTCAGGGTAGCCGACAGCCATAAGGTTGCCAAAAGCAGTGGTCGACTACACGACTGTAGCGTGTGTAGTAGATGAATTGCCTGATTTTCTGCCATTTCCATATGTTTGACGGCTTGCCATTAGGAAACGGAAATATTTATCTGAGAATGGGTTAAACTAGATCAGCTGACGGGTTCTTCTGCAGCCAGCTTCCACCTTCTTAGTGTCACTGTTGACAACTTCATTTTATCAGCCCATCTGACGCCACCATCATGGATCCAGAAGGTTACTTCATAATTGCAACCCAAACTCACACGCGGTATCGTCAAAAAGATGAAGATTTGCGTAGAATTAAAATTCGAAAACTGTTGCAGCCGCTGTGGACGCACAGGCATCTGTTGTATGCTATCAACGTTCAACCACATCCTGGCTGATTCCCAACCCGACTAATTCATTGGGGAAAACACAATGAAAGTGCATTTCGGTCGGAGATCGAAGACAGTAGACAAGGAAAATATATCTGGATATGCATGTATACATGGTTCGATGTTTAATACAACGACAGCCACTGACTGATCCGTAGCCTACCTGCCTAACTGCAGACGCGATAAATATAAAACATTTTCGTTGCTTTACTTCTAGACTAGGGTTTTATATTCCTTTATTGTGGTGTTTCCAAAGTGTTTCGATGGACCTAGTTTTAATCAACTTTGATATACATTGACATTCTCATAAATTTAAGTTCCGTGCATTTGTTCAGATTTCCACAGTATGCTCATGACTTTATTTCAGCTGCTCAGGTTTTGGGACATTTGTTTGTCCATGAGGAAAACCCGAACGTCCCGGCTTAACGACTGTTCAACTTCATATTTGATGGGTATAAGAGGGGGTTTTGCCTGTACTCACAGTGATAACCATAGAGACATTATGACGTGGTTCACAGGCAGTGACAATCAAGTTTATGTTGCCCATCCAAATGTGCTATTTCGGTCAAAGAAGTGATTCTTCAGCATCACTAAATAAATACAACACATTACTGCGGTCGGTGAATAGTGTACTTTTGGTCAGTGTTATGGGAGCGGTTCTGGTAAGTAACTTAGACGGTAGGCAATTTATTTCATCTACCATCCAGATTATTAACTGCGTAGCAGATCCATTATTTTTGCGATATCAAGTTCGGAAATCAGAAGTTCAAAACCAAGCCTTCTGGTAATGGAAATGCGAAATTCGTTATTTACTGATGTGTTTACATTAATGTTGATTTGAATCAGGCTTTACCGATGCATAAAATGTATTGTTTCCAGGTGTTTGAGACCGACACCGGTGACGACAGCACGCTTTCTTGTAGACAGAATAGAAGGGGTAGTACTTGTACTGGACTTTCCGGTAGAAACTCACTGTAGCTGAATCATGTTACACAGTAGGCGGTAGGCTGATAGCACGTAAAATAGTTTGCCCCATTTCATTACTTGTATTCGCTTCCATGGGCTTTCCGTTCCTCATGACGGGCGGTGCTCTGGGCCAGCGATAGATTGTTCGTTGTATTATAACACTGAGTCACCTTTAGTTATCTGCCTCCAGATCTATTGCGCCAGGCAACTTCAAGTACGAAGATGAAGTCGTATCCTGAAATTTTTGGAAGCTATATATTCTTATGGCAGTCAATGACAAGTGTGAGTGACTTCAAGCTTCATAAGCCCTCAGTAACACAAAATATTGAGGAACAAAATGCATTCTGTCAATACTGTCCATACATTGCTCTTATTTGTATTTTTCATTGCTCACAACACAGCCACGAAATAATAGTTCTAAGCCCTAGGACTTCAGAATTCCGCCGGGAAAAAGGCGTCGTAGTTCGGATTGCTATGCAGCAGTGATCGAACCTGTAAACTAGTTTGTATTCATGTAACCTATGTTGTATGAAATACATATCATTATTATAGCAGTTACCGTTTGTGAAGGCTGTTAGTTCGGTTGTTCTCGGTGGATTCGCTGAGATGAATGTAGAAAGATAAAGGCAGAAGCACATATGTATCATCTTCTTGCTTAGAAATACGAATCTCAGAGTTGGGTACTGGGAGTGAAGACAAAAGTCACAAATTATTTCACGGAGGCTCTGCCTGAAATCCACTAGTCAGTTTAAATACTTGTTCAACTTTGCACAAATCCGTAACTTTTCCCCGAACTGCTACTATAGTCCATTATAACCTTTCCTTCGCCTTAGAATATACTCCCCATTTTCATTTCTCATGTCACCTCTCAACTTTCTCTACTCACCACCAACTCATCCCATAACCCACACTTAGAGTCTCCTTCGGAAGCGGACACGAAAGAGAGTCAGGTTACTTCATACAAGTTGTGTAGCTTTCTTACTCACTCAGCCTACAACCTATAAACAGCAGAAGCTTAACTGAAATGACCGCCCCTACATTTATATTTCAGGAGGAAAGAATGATTTAACAACCGATGCGAGAGTACAACTGTGAATAATATGAGCCTAAAAATCCAAATGTGAGAGTTAAAAGTTCGGTTTTACTATCGACGAAAATCGTGTCTAGCGAAATCTTCAAGTTTGTTGATCACAGAAGTAGTCAAACAGAAGCTCACGGGATTTTGTGAACATCGTAGCGAAAGTAGGTCTTCCGTGCCTTTCTTTCGTTTTCATAAGGTTTGCGGCAGGTAAACAGGAGAAATGTGGAATAGTCCTGGTGAACACTCCTCGCCGGGGTTATTCATTCAACGAGTATACGACAAACCTCCTCAAATAGCCCTGCCTGTTCCTAGCTTTCATGTAGCCAATGTTCCGTGAGGCATGATGATCCTGTCACTAGCATCTCTGCGAGAGAAGCAAGCACCTTACATATTCCTACCATGAACGAGCCATATATAGCTTATGTTCAATCTTTGGCGAACGTTGCCCAGTTTAAGGTTTAAGTTTTGAGTTAACAAGGGATCTGGGAATGTAGTTAAAATCACGTGTTGTCTGCAATGTCACTCCATAAATCATGGTGCATTGATCTTCCACTAGTCGATTGACCGCTGGGATTTTCGTGCATGCCAGTGAAAGGTCAGGGCAAAGTCAAGTGAGACTACCTATTACTAGGCTTCGAAGAGTTGATCAAAGGTACCGGTGACTTTCCTACCGGTACCTACAGGCAAACAGTCTGCTTAATCAGAATCAATTAAAGTGACTTTATATCTGTTGTCCAACAATGCATATGCTTCCTCTGCTGATTTCGGTCCTTCTACTTTAACAGGTACCACACCGAGACGCACCCTCTGATCTCTCGGTTCCTGTCACAAGCGACTGATTCTCATGAAATCTACCTTGTAATTGGTGCCCTCGGCCGGCAGATGCCTTCCCTTACCGGTGCTGTCCTTATTACTTCTGGTTAAGCGGCAATTTATTTTGACAACATTTCTGTAAGCAGCAAGAACATGGCCATTCTTGCTGATGAAGACCAATCCCCGTGCAAAAGGCATATTGAAGGATTTTGAACAATTCGCATGCTTGTACGAACCAGTGGACAAGAAACATGTGTCCTCCTCTGGGTCCTCTTAGTCGGCATGTAATCTACCACTACTTGCTACGCTTTGTGGTGGAGTGTAAGGTGCAAGCAAATCTGCTGATAGCCTGGTTTGCACTGGCATCAGAGACTCTGAAAATATCATCGAGGCTGGGATCCACTCCATCCTGTATCCGATCACTAACTTCAATTAACTGTCGTAGCAAAACAAATGAATAGGCGCATCATGACTGCTTCAGCAACACCCAAGGAGTTCATTTCAGTGAGATCATTTAACGATGTCAACAAACTTCCGTACATTAGCAGATTATAAAGGAACTCTTCAGAACCGACTCCAACTTGCTTTCCATCAACCATGGCATTCTCGAACCCACTTATGGAAGTCATAAAAGATCTGTGGAGTCGAAGGCGAAATATGACTTCAGCCTAACTGTAACCCCGCTCTAGAGGTATCGCCTCATAGCGCCATATGTCTGGGGAGGGCACTGCTTCGTTATGCCTCATCAAATACATCAATCTAGTTTATCCGTCAGTTTACCGTCGTTCAGAATTATTTTGCCTTCCACTGAAAGCTTTGCTTCTGGGCTGGGTTACCGTCAAATCTTAGTGTCTCATACTTAGGCAGAGTGATTGATGGACCTTCATTAGTAGTAGAGACGCTCAGAAGTTGACCAGTATCCTTCTTATCAAAGACAGTTCTAAACGTATTAGTGATTCCATGTGGGCTATTGTCATAACTTATGTTTGAAGCAGCTTCCATTTGAGTGTGTATCTTTGTATGCCCCTGGCGTCGTGTCTTATAGTCGACCGTCAAAAAGGGAATCCAACCATACAGGGGCCGGGTAGATATGACACAGCGACGTGAACCTGGAACTTTCAGGTGGAGCTAATCGGAAACCATCACTGGAGCCGGAGTCCCCAGCTGATGATGTAGAGCCTTAGAATGCTAATGATGAGCACCGTGGCCGGGAACAGAGGCAGAGGATGGCTGCTGAGCCCAGGACCCAATGTTTGTTTAGATTCATATTTGTCGTCTGACGATGGAAGGCTGTGAGCTTATATTACCCCTTTCTGTGCCTGTCCAGCCACCTTTGAACGAGTCAATTGATGACGCACGCACCCCTTCTTCTGGGAGTTGGTTGCAGGAGTTGATTATTCGATGTGATAATCAGTACTCTACGAAGACTACGTCCGTTCTTTACTTTCGTGGCCTCCTGCTATGTCCTTTGAAGTGTTCCTACCTAGTGGGAGGAGAGGAGAAGATCGATCAGGTCCGAATTCATTTCCTAGAATCTTGTGTAGCATGGTAAAACCTCCCCTCTGTCTGCGATATGATGAAGAGAAGAGGCTCAGCTCCTTAAGTTGACCTTCATAGGTGAGGCCAGCCATCGCAAGGATCATATGAGTGGGTGGCCATGAAGTCTTCCAAGAGGGTCTAAGTCGCCTTTCAGACAGAGATCTGTGGGCCGTGCACAGTTTTCTAATTTGGACGTAAGGATGTGTATACGATGATGAACATATCACCGAATACTTTCGCAAACGTTTTACGTAGCAGCCAAAGTGTCCTTAACTCCAAGCTGCTACCAATCGGCCGTGTGCCATGGTTTTCAAATCATAATTTGCTGTGGCTCCCACGTGATTGTAGACTCCTTCGGACTGCAAAAAATTCAAGACGACAGCGAAAAACAGATGGGAACGTAATGACGAATAGACTAAGCTTATTTAGCAGAGGCAGGTAGTAAAATTAGGACATTACGTCACCAGTTTCCTCGTGGGTTCAAATGCTCCTTGCCAGCCAATGAAAAGCTGTTGGTCTGTTCGTGCGCTCCTTGAATAATGATGTGTTTTCGCTCGTCTCTCAGCTTATGGATTTTCCACATTGAAAAACTCCCACTTGCAATACTCAGCCTAGAAAGATCGAGCGTTTGTAGCACTTCTGTTCCTGCACGCACCTATCCGCTGTGTACACGTCAGCTCACTTCTCAACAGTTGAAATTGGCATTATTATCCCTTTGAACCAACCGGTCTACCTCCTGTCAGTAGTTTTTTGGCTTTTCAACTGCCAAACTGCCTTAGCTCTCGGTTCTCCTTGGAGGTTATTCCCCAGGAAAGATATTTCCTGATTATACATACACATCTGGAGCTTACGGTTAAACTCGTTGGTCAAGAGCAGAGGATCAAGTGACAAGTGTCTGAGGGTGAGCCAACATAAATTGTCTTCCCTTATCTATTCTGTCCTTTTGCTGCATTCAGTCTTCAACCCTCTTATTGTTGTTAACTATGTTTTCCCAAGAAGTTTATATCATAGCGACATGTCTGCCCAAAACGCCATATTCGAAGCTCTGACACGGATAACGCGGTCGTGCACAAAAAGGGACAATAACACCCGAAACAACACACTAGTCTGTACTAGAAGCAAAGAGAGGTAGGGCAGAACACCGAACTTCTAAAGAAGTGGCCAACCCATGTTTCTAGAATTCCAGTCGCCATCAGACAGGTGACACAGAGTAGCACTAGCCCGTCACAAACTAGTCCTATCTTGAGCAAGGATCATACCATGCCTGAAAATAGAAGACGACGTAAAAGGCTTCAGAACAAGGCAGCCACAAGCAGTTCGTTGCAATCCGTAGCACCATATTCATGGAAGGAAGGCTGTATTACGACACTCGATGGCTGCAGTGTTTGCACCAAAGTTGTTTCGGTAGTCGATGAGGCATTTGCGTGCAACCTATGTCACCGATGGGCGCATTGCCACTGCGACACCAAAGTCCCCCGACAATACTATGAGCTGATGAAGAGACAACCATGCAAGTGGTTCTGGTACATCTGTCCAGAGTGCAGGAAAATGCCCGAACTCGGCACAGAAAGCCTGAAGGAGATGCTCTCCGCCACGCAAAAGCTACCAGCATCCTCGAATAAAGTAGGGTTAACACCAAGGGATAACACAGAAAGACCTGGAAACAGACCTAGAGCTCCAGCTGTGGGCACGCCACCTCGCGTGGGGACCATATTAGGTCAAGTCTCCATACCTCCTACCCGGCCTCAGGGGACGTCAAAGGCATGGCCAAAGACATCGACCGCTGAACCCTCTACGAAACCCATTCCAAACACCCACACACTGGGCCGGAGGAACAACCAGTGGAAGTCGAGAGTGCCGCCCACAACGAACCCAGGTCACAGGAGGACCAACTCGATCATTTTGTTCAACGTCGATGTATCGACAGACTCATTGTTGGTCGGGAGGGAACGGTTTGACAGCCGAATGTGGACCGACTACTGTCAGATGCTGGGACTCCCTCCCCTCCCTGCAACTTTGTGTCGCCTTTCTCGAGGAAGCCGTGCACCCCGAGATAAGCCACCCCTTTTACGTGTGTCCCTAAATACTTCCAAAAAGGCTGAAGACACTCTCCTTCTCTCGCGACAACCGGACGTTGTTAATGCCTGTAAAATTCGGGCCAGGCCTGACAAGCCATGGTCAATAAGAGAGGAGGAGAGAAAGTCAGCGGTTGGAAATCCCAACAGAAACAACACTATAGTTGTACATGGGATTCCAGAATTGCCAAGTGACCGCTCGGTCAAAGATCGGTACTTTCACGACGTCCAACAATGGCAATGGCTCTCAACCAAAGTTGGTCTCAACAGTATACCGGCCAACAGCGTCAGTAGACTGCCAAGGCCAGCGCACCTGAAGACCATACCCAATCCCAGACTACTCGCCGTCCAGTTCGACTCACACACCTCCCTCACAGACGTTCTACACGCATGGTATAATGCGAAAGATCGCATGGGTGGCTCAATACGTATGTGTGAAAGTAAGCCTAGACCCACGAGGCAAGAGAAGAGACGGCGACCACCAGGACATCCGGAGTCAGTGATCGTCACACAGGCGCTGACCAGTGAGTTAGATACATCAAGTAAAGAAGCCACCACTGCCACAGCCCCCACCCAAGTTAAAAACAAAACGCAAAAACGGAACAATGCCAGTCCTATGAGGACTGGCGACGCTGGATCCAACCGTGCAAGCGCTCATCCCGCGAAAATACGCAGCCAGACGTCCCCTCTCACCAGGCACATGTATGTAAAGCAACGTTAGGGGGCTAAGAGGGAAGGTAGCAGAAATGAGGACGCTGCGTGAACATCAGCACTACGACATCATATTCATCACCGAATCCTGGCTCTCATCGGACATCTCCGACGAAGAGATGCATGTTACTGGCATGGAACTCTTCCGCAGGGACAGGGAACATAGAGCAGGAGGGGGAGGGGTTCTCTACGTAAACTCCCGTTTTAAAGGCAAGGATGGTTAGCGATACGGCCTTAACCCAGCTCCCAGAGTCTCTATGGTGCTACTTCACTCCCCACCGTACCAAATACCTGCTCGGAGTCATATATCGGTCCCCCACCAGCTCCCCTACACATAAGGAAATGGTCATCAAGGCTATCTTAACGACTTCCTCTGCAAATTACGATTCCGTAGTCATTGCCGGCGACTTCAACACCCCGTCCATCCTCTTCGAGACGGAAGGGAGACGCATCAGATCCTTCAATCAGAAGCTGAAGGATGCAATTAAGACTGCTGGCCTCTCAGAGAAAGTGGGTGATGCTACACGCTGGGGACCTAACGGAAACGCATCGCGCCTTGACTACGTTCTGACGAACGATGAACTTCTCATTGAGGATGTTTGCATCCAACCTCCCCTTGGCCTCAGTGACCACGCTGTAATCACCTTCTCCATGATAACTAGGGAGGCTCTGCAACTGGAGACGCCCAACACCTTCCCTTGCTACAGCAAGGCCAACTATGAGACCATGAGGGACTACCTCATGAATGCATCATGGCCAGTGGACTGGACTCATCTCACAATAGATGAACACTGGTTGGAGGTGAAGAAAATAATCACTGGGGCCATCAGTCACAGTGTACCAGAAGTAACACACAGACAATCAGGAGAACCTCATGGTTAAAGCGTGGGACAGAGAGGCTTATCCAGAGCAAGAAGCAGGCTTGGTTCAAGTGGCGTACATCACGCAGGGAGTCTGACTTCTTGAACTACAAAAGGATTCGCAACCGCTGTAACATTAGAGTGCGTAGCGACAGATTTTCCTATCAAACAAACTTGGCGGCGAGGTTACAAAGCAATCCCAAAAACTTGTACCGCTTCATGTCGAAGAAAGTCGACCAGTAAGGGAGTGAATCTTGTCACAGGCCATGACGGGAGTATACTGGCAGTCTAGAGATTGCCGAGCTTTTGAGCTCACACTTCCAAGCCCAACTTAGCACTGACACAGGATCCACACCGACTCGCTACGACACCGACCAGTCGTAAATAACGAATACCTCTGTCACGTCTCTATTACAGAGAAAAAAGTGTTCGAGAAACTATCTAGGCTACGTCCAGGTAAGTCCCCTGGCTGCGATAGCCTAAAACCAGTGGTTCTAAAAAACTGCTCCGAGGTGCTTACCAAACCACTTCGCAACCTTTCTGGGCACTCGTTACACTCGTGCAAACCCCCTAAAGAATGGAAGAGCGCCATCTTGTCACCCATCTTCAAGGGAGGAGATAGAAAAAGCCCTGGCAGCTACAGGCCAGTTGCTCTACTCCTTATTGTGTCGAAAGTGTTGGAAAACTTGGCAGCCGACACTATCTAAGAATTCCTCAATGGGGAAAACACTGTTCATACTGCTCAGCATGGCTTTCGGAGTGGTCGCTCATGTGCCACCAACCAAGGGAGGCAGTTCTGCACTAAAGTAAACAGAATAAGGTCGGAGTGGAGGCCCTTGACGTCAGGAGTATCCCAAGTAGCGATCCCAGGACCGCTTCTGTTCCTCCTGTTTGTCAAGGATCTGCCAGATAAAATATCCTCACCCATCCTTCTCTTCTCCGACGACATAAAAATTTGGAGGGTGGTAAACGAGGAAGCTGATTGTGCAGCACTACAAAATGACTTGCAGCAACTCGAGCTCCGGTCACCGGGAAATGGCCTCAGCTTCAACCCGGAAAGGTGCAAAGTAATGCACATCAGTAAAAATGAAGCAAGTACGACCGACTTCCAGCACACGTTGAGCAACCGTGCTATCATCAGAATATCCACGGAGAAAGATTTGGGGCTCAACTTCTCCGACACCTTGGACACCAGCTCCAACTACAAAGGTATGACAACCACAGCGAACTCCATTATACACTTTCAGCGTAGACAGCTTGGCGCCCTCACTTCCGAACTCTTCCTCACCATTTTCAAACCCTGCGTGCGGCCGCATCTAGAGGTCTTCAATACGGTGACTCCTCCAACACTCAGGAGAAATTCTAATCTCTTGAAAGAATACAAGGAACTGCAACAAAATCAGTTGTGGGGCCAAGGGGGAAGACGTATCCTGAAGGACTTAAACACCTAGATCTATTTACCTTGGGTTATCACAGGAAAAATGGCGACCTTATTATGGCATATAAGATCGCACATCAGGCAGATCATGCAAACAAACCAATTTTGTCTGCAACTCAACGATCTTCAAGAGGAAACCCCATTAAGATAGCACACCAGAGAGCCAACACCATACTCAGGTCAAAATTTTTCTCCCTAAGAGTATGTGCTTTATGGAATGCCTTACCGTAACACATCGTTATAGCTCCCTCAGTCGACTCATTCAAGAGGCGATTAGACAGTTATATCACCTCGCATGGACTACCGTGGACGTAGTCAGGTAGTCACCAGCCTCACTAGCCCCCAACTCCCTCCTAACTACCACTCACTATCTCCCTCCTTAATGCACCCACATTACCTGCTAGTTCTTTTGTAGGAACAATACCCACGCGACTATTCGCGCAATTCCCAAATACTTTTCTTTCGTTCTCATTTTTCTTTTCACCCCTCCTTTTCTTCTCCTTCCCTTTCCCTTATTATTTTCTCCTCTTTTTTATTCTCTCTTCACGCCTTTACCACTACCTTACTATACTGTTTCAGGTACCTACACAGACAGGAGTCACGGCAGTTCCCTAAACTTCCCAGCAAGCCGTAGCTCCCCAATCACTCTACAAATTACAACTTACTAACCCACAAAACATCCACCTCACCGAAGCTAAAAGCAAGAAAGCAAAGAGGTTTCCTCGTCCACTGCAGAAGTGAGCCGAACAACTTGAGCCGAGCCCTAAGAACTAGACGCGAGAGATCAAAAACTACCAGTTTTCTACCCTCGCATTATCAATATTGGATTGGAATGGTCATTTGAGATAACGTAACTTACATTTCTGCATCTTTATCAGCTGTGACACTAATAATTGTTAACTCGAATGGATTTGGAGTAGAAAACTTATTTTTTAGCAGCTTGTAGCATCATAGAGTTATTACGTAGTAATTATGGGTTTTTGCCGACCTTGGCTAAGTGTCATTTTCAAAGTATGTGATTTATTATGGCGTGTAAAGAAAAGCCATCAAAAAGTATTCTGAAGTCAGAACAAGAACAAGCTCGTAAGTACATATTTGCTGCTTTAGTTAGCTGCATGAGTTTTAAAATAGCATTCATGAAAAGTAGTTCAAGGATGGGGTCACCGTTTCAAAACATTTTAGTTAATCATTGTCAGCGATATGTTCATTCTGTCAACCAGCTAATAAGTTTTAGATGGCAAATTTATTCCTGCGATTGTGTGTTTATATACCATATGATGTACGCTACAATTCTGGAGGTAGTTTGTCGTTTGTAAGCTCATCCATTATTGAAATTATTAATCGGGATCAATTGGTCTTGGTTCATCTTCATAAATCTTCAATCTGTGTATTAAAAATGCCTTTGTCACGCGTCCTTTTTTGGATAATGTTCTTCTGATGCTGTTGTCAAGCCTTAAAAGAGCGATAATAATGTGATATTCAAGTCAACCTTCCCTGCGTTTTTCAATTTCTCTTATGATGTATGAAAGTGAAGTGTATCAGTATGGTTAGATATGTAATCTGATAAGCCTTTATGTTTTATTCATCACTTACATTTGATGAATTAAATAAATACTGTCAGGAGAACACACTGCAAGTTGTTGGGATTACAAGAGTTGTTTTAACCATAACTTACCATGAAAACAAATTATAAGACAAGAATAAGAGTCAAATAGGCCATTTTTCGCACTACACAGCTTTTTTAGTCTTTAGTACAGCAGTTTGATTAACCTGCACTAACTATGATAGCAAAAATCATTGTGAAGACCTTATTTTTATTTGTTAGCATCCTTCGAAGGAGCTGCTACCACAAGATCATGTATCAGGTCTAAATCTTTTCCAACCCTGTGAGAAATCTTAGTTTCCATTTGTAGGATCTTCAATTGTGTTTTTCGAACTTTTTGACCGATTTTACCAGCGGAGTTTCAAAATTCCTCTCACATACTAACTACTCATCCTTTGCATGTGTTCAAGAGTGTCTACTTCTAGCTCGAAGTGAGAATTGGCTAACTGGACGATTCGTCTGAGATGAGATTTTCCGTTAGTATTATAGAATGTCCCAATTAATTTTTCGTCAAAATGCCTATGGGTTCCAGGCAGTGAACATAGCTGGCTGAATGATCTGACTTCCTCTGCGATAAAGTGTTCTTTGTTTCCAAGTTATGGGTGATAACACGCCTTAGATCCTTTTGTTTCTCAAAACAGTGCAATATCGATTGACCATATGAGTAAGAGTAGTATGACGTTTTGACCACTGCACGTTGCTGCACTTATGTTAAAGTTGCTTTTCAGGTTCTAGCGTCTAGACCACTTGAATCATTTATCTATTGGAGTCTTCACTGAGAACTTTTCTTTCTTGTTATGAATAAACCTCAAAACCTTGACATCACCTGCAGATAGCAAAGATGGTCACAGGTTATCATGGAGTAATGTCGAAAAAGGTCCTAGCTCCCTGCGTGAGTCCACTAGTAACCAGTTTGAAGTTCAAATATATTGGATTCATCTTAACCATTTTCTTCGTATCACACAAGCAGTTCATAGGCAACTCTTGATGTGATTTCTGAAACCTACTACCTTCATCGGCCTACTGTTCTCAAATATCCTGGTTAAATCACTTGATGGCCAGGTAGCTTCTACTCACGCTTCTGTGCCTGAAAACAAGTTTGGCAAGCAGTAGCGTTTTGCCTTGAAGTTATATTTCTCTTGTGCCAATAAAACATGTATTGTCACATGAGTGAGTAATTTTTCCTTCAATATGTTTTCAAAAACGTTCATAACTATACAAGTCAAATTGATGGAACGATAGTTGCTGACTAGTTGCCAACTGCCATCCTTAAAGATTGTTCATGCCAAGACATCTTTCTACTCCTTAAGTAACGGAGCCTAAGACAGAGATAAAGTAAATAATTGAGTGATTTGGGGATAATGTCAACCAAGACTAGTACTTGCCCGGATTTTAAATCATCAGGATCTAGTAAGCTTTCAGGCCTCGGGTTTTTTGGCAATCAGAAACAGGAACTACTTGGAAGGTTCAATCAGTGGCATTACCTAATATCTTTGTGTTACTGCCTGCCTAAAAGCCACCACTGAAGTAGTTCGATAGGTGTTCGGGTTCTTTCAAGTTTGGTTCCGCCAAATCGTACAAGTTCTCATTGAATAACAGAATGGGTATCCTATTATACCTTCTTGTCCTGCACCTCATGTATGAGTAGTCCATTGGGACAGGCAACGCAGTCATACAACAGTTGGTTTTCATATACTGTTCAAATTTCAGTGATAACAGTCACGCTAGAATTCTGACGTTAAGTTTAATACAACTTGTCTCTATATACAGATATCAAGAATGTTTCCTCTTCCTAAGTAACCCTCAGATGCCACTATCTATTCTGATGGCTCTGCGAGCAGGCCTTGATGGCCAAGAAAGGAAAAGAGATGTGACGACCTCACAGGCAGTTGTATATTTCTCCAATGGCTTTAAAACTGTTTAGTATGTATAGAAAGATCAGTAAACTGAGATTGGAATGTCACCAGCCGACTTCTAGTCTGCGTGACTAATATTTAGTCTGTGGGTGATCGATTCATAAAACGAGTTGTAAGTCTTATATCTAAATACGACAACTAAGTTCTCAGTATTGGCACTGGAGACCACCCACATCTTTGAAATTGTGAGATAAAATGTTGTCAGCTTAATAATTTATTTATTATTAAACTTATGTGTGCGCCAGTAGTTTATGTCAGCCGTTGAATGGTTCGCATGCTCTTTAAAACTTGGAGGCTCAGGCCCTAATACGGCTCTATTGACTAGACAAATGAGATTTATACCGCTTGACCAAAGCTATTAATTTGAAACGACTAAGTACTCACAGTAAATGATGTGAACAGTATGCATCAAAGGCTTTTTGATTCAGAATTCTAAAGTGCAGTCATGAATGCCATGATGTTTTAGATCACTAAACGGTAAAACATTAAAATGTTCTATTTAAGAAAATGGAGTTCACTGGAGAAGGTTGACTGTCTAAAAGACTGAAAAGTAGCAATCAAGATTACTGTGAACAGTTGTTTGGAAAAGATTTGTCTTAAACTCACATTATACTTCATTCCACCACTTTCATTATACTTCCATAAAAATTCATTTTTCTTGACCAATTTGAAAAGAAGTTATCAATTCATATACTCCTGTGAACTTAAATATAGACTGACTGGGATCGCTTTCCACTGTCGTTGCATATCTTCAGCCATTTACTTGTTTGACTGTTTGGGAAGAAATTGTGACTCACTTTATTGATTCAAGACAACTAGTGGACCTATGAGGGCTTTGTTCAACCATAAAAGAGCATGTTTGTGATAAAGACTAGAACTTCCTAGAGCTGAAGAAAGTGTTTTAACAAATAACGTTTTAAAGGCTAGATGATACTCTCAGAAGTAGAATTTCGCGTATCCACTGGAGTATATAATTTGTATCTGAACTGAAAAGTATTTCTTTTCTTATAATAAATTCATGTAATTTTCTACCACATTGCGTTAAGCCCATGTTTAGTCATTCAATCCACTAGTTCAATGCTGTTTTATCTGGTGGTTACTTGAAGGCTTTATCCAAATGCATAATAAAAATGTGTGTCATATTGAACAATCATTTATTTATTGCATAAATCTGAATCCTGGTATTCCTGTTGTTATGATAGCTACTGAACTGACCTTGATAGTCTGATTAGCAAGTTAACTGAACTATTTACACCTGATGGGATGAAAAATAACCGGTAGTCTTGTTAAAATAAGCCACTCGTTCCACAGATTTTGTATTTCACTCAAAAATTATTTATTTGAAGTATCATGGCAGCTGGGATCCACAAAGTTATATGAGCTTGTATACTTTTCTAAATATGTGGATTATGCTTATCATATGGTTTTACTGCCCCATTAAAATGACAGCTGCGTTAGTCGTATATCTTATGCTAAGGGTTCACATTTCCTCAACCTAGATTTTGCCGTTTCACCATTTCTTTTAGTGTTAGTTGCCCTATAACTATTGTTGAGATTTACATTGAATGTTGTCATTATGACGCTAATATGAAAATTCTGAGGGTCTGGTTGCATCAACTGCATGTCTAATATCCATATTTTCTAAACATTTTCATGGCTGCATTTCCCCTGAAAAATGGCTGATCCTAGTGAGTAATTTCGCTAATATCAGCCTGAAGTATGGCAATACTACGTTAGGTCTATGTTGCGACACTGCAAAGCAGCTCCCAAGATACACAGAACCAAGAAAAACTAATAAGGAAGCAAGATAAGAAAAGTACGGGGGTTACTTCTGAAGATGAAATATGGTCTGAAGCTTAGTGTAAAGATAGTGTGTGGGTGAATCTATACACATGGGATAGATTCTGAGCTGTCTCTTATGAAGTTTTGAACCTTTAATTTTGTTCCTTTCATGGATCACATCCTAGAATTTCCTACTAAACTACATCCCACACACGAAAAGTCAAATATTTCTTGATCTGAATCTCCTTTCAAGTCTGGCCACTCCTGACCTTTCATAAGTCTGAAATTATCTCATGTGACATTACAAGCTTGGGCAAATGGCAACTAGGTAGCTAATTCAGTCGTTGAGGGTTTACAACCTGATCAACTGAATTACCGCTTCTATCTAAGAATTTACGTATGGCCTCAAAGTTAATAAAGCAGTGTTTCCACAATATATGAGCATTGTTATGAGGTCAGTAAAGTCAAACATAAGAAGTCTTTTAATGTGCTACATTCTTTGTCTTCATCTTTCTCTGCCATACGGTGGAATAGACCGAACTGCTGCCCAGAAAATTATGCCTTTAATAGGCTATCGGATATCATGGTAGTACCTTAGGTGGAGTAATTTTGCAGGAGTCCATGGAGCCTTTTTCATCCGTTTGATGATTTTATCAGTCACTTATTCCCTGGGGCTGACTCAATGTGATAACGTATTGAAGTTGTTCACAAGTTACAGCTCTTCACTTTCTAGTGTTGAACGTGATATTAACACAGATCAGCCATGGGGTAACAGTTTACAT